ATAGCTGATAGTATTAGTTTAAGGGGATAATCATTATTAAGAAAATGGCTAGTAAGTATGCCAATGTGTTTGTCATAATCATCCGAAGATGAGCAAATTCGCTATATTGATGGTGTTTTCTTCCTTTGGCCCCACGGTGAAGATACCCTCAATGCTTTTAAATCACATGCTAACAACTTCCATTCTAACATTAAATTTACTTTTGAAACTTCGCCTTCCAAAATTCCATTTTTAGACGTTCTTGTAGGCATCTCTACTAACAACATAATCACATCCTCTTTATACACTAAACCTACTGATAACCATGAATTTCTGAACTTTCACAGCTCCCACCCTTTAAGCCTTAAAAAAATCTATTGTCTATAGTCCTTGTCCACTACACCAAAAAACATTTAGAAACTTCAAATTCATATGCAAGGCTTCTCTTCATCGATTTCTCTTCCGCATTTAATACTTTGCAAAGTCATATGCTTCTTCCTAAACTTCTTAAATTTGGTATCAATCATTCTATTATTCTTTGGATCAGAGACTTTCTTCACCTCAGAACACAACAAGTCAAAATAAAACAAACTTTTTCTTCTATCATCTATAATAGCACTGGTTCTCCACAGGGTTGTGTTCTCTCACCCTTGCTGTACATCCTCTACACCAACGACTGTCGTACCCTGACTGAGAACTGCACGGCAATCAAATACGCTGATGGCACCGTCCTTGTCAGTTTAAACAATGGCCCCCAATACCTTAATAATTATTTAAATGATGTGACCTATTTTTCAAATTGGTGTAAGAACCATTTCCTTAAAATCAATCTAAAGAAAACATGTGAACTTATCATTGATTTTAGGAAGAAAAATGGGTCAGATCATGAACCACTGAATATTGATGGTGAACAGATTAAAGTTGTTCCTGAGTACAAATATTTAGGTACTGTGATTGATGAAAAATATGAATGGTCCAGTAATACACTTAGACTGTACAAAAAAGGCCAGCAACGACTTCATATGTTACGGCAACTTAGGAAATTTAATGTTGATAAGGAAATTCTAGAAATATTCTACCAATCAATGATACTCAGTGTGATTTCTTTCTGTCGGATTATATGGGAAGCTAGCTTATATGAAAAAGATAAGGGATTGTTGGCGAAGATCACTAAAAGGGCGGGGCGTGCAATAGGAGTAGATTCTTCTAAGCTCAATTTTAAGTATAATGCAGGTGTTCTCTCCATGGTAAGACGCATACTTTCTCAAAATGAACATCCACTCTACAACGAGTACAATTTTCTCCCATCCCATATCCGTATTCGCTCTTTACCTAGTCTTACTAAACGCTATAACAAATCGTTTGTTCCACATTCTATTGTAATTTACAACAAATATGTTGAAAGATAATTTTTGCTACCCATGGAGAGAACACCTTGATCATATCATATCAATATCAATCTAATTAATAATTGTAAATATTTATTGTATTACCTAAAGTATTTATTTGAATTGTATATATATTGAATTGTTTTTGCCGTTTAACATAATTTTTTCTATTTTAAATTGTAATTGAATTGTGTTTCTTAACCTTTTATATGTAATTGTATATTGAATTTCTTACCTTTTATTGCAGTGTATAAATGAAGAATTTCTGATGTATTTATTTTAAATATATTAGACCAATAAAGAATAAGTTAAGTTTTCTAGATTATAAACCCAAAGATTACTAATAACCGCATTCCTCTCGTCTTCGACTACCATCCCAATATAAGTTCTCTTACCCGCCAAATTAAAACTGACTATAAAATTCTCAATAAAGATAAATCTATTTGCCACCTTTTTGAAGACCCTTCCCTACTAGCCAAAAGACAACCCCCTAATTTGAAATCTATTCTCTCATCCTCTAAACTCCATAAGAATTCCCACTCTTCTGGTAACGTTAAATGTAGTAAACCCAGATGTCAAGTTTGCAATTTCATGTGCACCTCTGACACATTCACTATTCCTAGTACTAATATTACTATTAGACCCCCTCCACTTACTTGTGAATCTTCTAACGTTATTTACATTTTATTTTGTAACAAATGTCAAATTGGTAATTACATTGGAGAGACTGGCACTAAATTCCGCCTCCGATTTAATAATCACAAAAAACCATCAGAGACAACTCCACTGGTTTCCCAGTAGCCTGTCACTTCAATCTACCTAACCATAGCATTAATGACATAAGATTTGTTTTGGTCGCTAATAACTCTTTATCCCTCTCACATAGACGTAAAGAAGAATTGAAGTGGATTCTTAGAATCAATTCTTATATTAACGGTTTAAATAAAGACTTAGATTACTTATCAGACTATTCATTTATATATA